CATCAATCTATGTCAAATCGACTATCTATATCATTTCTCCAACCGTTTTATTATGGAAAATCGTGCACAATAAATCATCAATTTTCAAAATTATTTCAGCGTCCGTTTGGTTACTATATTCCACTTTTTTCCCCATTTGTACTGTAAACGAAGAAAGATTAAGAAACTCCGAAACAACGTCAATTGGTATACTGTTCATAACCTATTTATTCATACAATAAATTACAAAGCAATGGTTTTAGTACTGACGCACTGAACTGTTTTTCTCAGCATTTGACCTGATACACACAAAACCACAAGTGTCGCTATCATTGTTTCTTATTTGCGCGTGTGACCCCTTTTAGTATAAACCATATATTTTTATATAACCATGTTATGCTCGTGTTGGTAGTTATAAAAAAAAAGCTAAATAAAAAGAAATATTAAAACGTACTGTCACATTATTAAAGTTAAATTTTACTATGCCAGTGGATAACCTAAATAAATTATCCCAAGAAATAGTTTCCAATGTTAAACATAAAAGTGTGAATGTATTGTATGTCCACCATTATTAAAAATATAAATTGTTGAGACTAGTCAAGTTGAGAATGAATGTTTTTCTGTAAACGTACACTAGTAAACTTTTGTCTTTGATTCATTATGAAGTCGAAAACGGTTTCAATTAGGACTGTACTACAATGTGAACATGGTAATGTTTGCACAATTCGCACTACAATGTAGTGTTTTTTTTAAAGCATTCAAATGGAGTTTAAGAAAGTTCTCGTCTGAATTATTGATATACGTATATATGTTAAATAGCTAGGCGAAAAACTTAAAAATATTCGCTCTGCTTCTAATGCCAATATGAAAGTACACAAATATGTAACCTTCAACTTGGACAGTCTTATTGTCTATTTTATGTAATAATATATACGTGTCGACCCTAACCTCTAAACTTTATCACAAAATCAATAACACATTACGATCATGCGATACTCGTTTTTACCCACAACACTAAACTTGGGATATTTGGTTGGCATATTAGAATTTTTTTTAGAATCCCAAGCAGTTTTAAACAAAATAATTAATTATCAACCATAAAACATAATTTATTTGATTACTATAAAATAATATAAAACAAAAATACCAAATTAAAATTACAGCAAATTAATTAAATAATTAGATGATTAATCGCAAATAATGTATATTAATTCTCAACATTTAACTAAGAAATTTTACTTAATTGAGTTATATTTGGTTCTTGGTACATCTTAGGCCACCTTCTACCAAATAGGATACACGAGCATCGTTTAATTTGTGATTAGTCTTGATTTCTAAATGTTAAATGTAGTGTTATATATCACTACATATAACTTTATGGACTACAATGAAATAATGGAACTATTAATGATTGTGAAATTTAATAAATAATTTCTATTTTAGATATATCAAAATCGAAATACCATTAAGATCGATTAATTCCGTAAAGCTTTCTCTTATCAAAAAGCTTGACAGTTTGTAGAGATTTATATAAAATATTGTTTATTTTCCTTGACAATTAGTCGAACTATTAATTAAGATACATTCCCAATGGGATTTAGGTCGACTTTGTCGGTCAAATAGTTAGTAATTGGTATAAAACTAAGAATTTAGCTAATGACCTGAACAATTTTCATTGGTTATCATCAGAAATTCGATAAAACAACTTGCCACCAATCAAATGTTTGGTATTAAACTAATAAAAATTGAGCATTTGTGCATTCTATATAAACTTATCCATTGAAGATTGATTTTAATTTTAAGATTTTTTGAATTCTCGTTTTGAACTTATATTAAAAGAAAATAGATGCATATTTTCCGAATAAATTTAAGTATTGTTATTCGCAGAATGATAAAATTAATAATGAAATTAGTTTTTCAGAATGTTTATTCTTACTGTCTTTGCGATATAATCATTGATAAAACAATAAGAAAACAAATGCAAAATAGTCAGTTAATATAAAACAAAATTCTAGAACATATTATATTCCTTACGCCGATCTGTGATATGATTGTTATAAGAAAAACTTAATAATCATTTTTCAGTTTTTTAATCGCCTTATTTCTAGCAATATATTTTACAACCAAATTAGTTACAATACTCAAATATTAAAAAATTCTTTAACTGTATAATATGATTTCATTAATATTATTGCGCACACCATTTTCAAAAAGATACAGAATGTGACAAACAGTGTTTTTGAACGGGTGCGTGAACTCATGTAATTAATTCAGACTTTCAATGCGCTTCTTTATTAACCACATAAAGTTCAGGCATGTGTAAACAGCGTGTTTCGCAAGGCGATAAGTACTTCGAGGCTAAAAATGCTTTTAGGTTCAACTAAATTCGCACCAGTAAGTTAATAAAAAAAAAAAAAAAAACGACTTTTAACATGGTATTTTTCTTTATAATTTCTTAATTTTAAATAAATTTTATGAGAAACTCATACACTTCTTTACAATCTGCCAGTGTTGAGTAATCTTATGTATACGGTAATAAAGAGCAAAAATGCAATGATAGAAACAATCATTTTTCTTAAATCACAGCTATTGTCATCAACAGTTAAAGTTTTGGCGTATTGTAAAATATTATAGCACACTTTATAAAATACTCTAAAAGCATCCAGAGACCAATCACATTTCAGATACATTTATTAAGGATCTATACTTGAACTGTGTTATAAACTAACTTGTAGAGTATTTCGTTTACTAAATTTACCAAATTTGTTTTATGATTTACCACGCCACGAACTGAAATCAAAACTTATCATTTTCAAATGTATATTATACAAACAGTTATGTGACATATAAAACGTCACAATATCATACAATATAATACTGTTAATTTAAATATTACGCTATTTGAGGTTTGCATTAATACTTTATTTTTTAATTAAGAATATGTAAGTGCACTTATGATCAGGTAAAGAAGTTAACCCAGAATGTGCGGGCTTAATCGCGCCGAATGAGCCCATAAATCAGTCCTCGAGAAGGTGGGGAACAGTCATTAATAAAACGTACACGAGGAAAACAAGAAAATAATCCCCAATCTTCGACCAGCATCATCGCCCATGTACGCGGCTAAAATTCCTAAGTCGGTTATGTCAAGAGTTGAAACCACATGCCAGGTAAATCCCGGGCTATGTGCGATTGCGCATACAGCTATATTATATTATACAGTAGAAAGATAATCCATCACCGTTATTTTAATGATTCCCTCTATGGGGTTTAATCTTTATAATGTTCATTAGAATCTACCAAGACGAATAAAAACTCTACTTTTCAACTGAACTGACAGCTCAATGTCCTACTCGAACTCAATTTTCTTTTTAAATAAACGGATCCAGACTCTTGAAGTTTCATTATCGCCTGATAAACTTATAGAAAATATATAAATATTTACTAAAGAAAAATCATTTTTCTTTAGTCCTTTATTGAATGGGATCAATTAATCAAGTCGAGAAATGTTGTATTTTTTTTATTATTATTATTATGAATAATTTTATCTTGAGCAATTAACCTAGTTAAGTTTCAAAAGTTAAACAAAAGTTTTACATAACACCAATCGAGAAACCTTGTCAGCTATATATTTTTAATTTTTATAGCAATAGTTTACACTAACGATCGATAAAAAGATGATATTCATTAATTTATGCAAGTTATAGAAGCATCAAAAAAACTATTATCCTAGGTTTATATTTTATAACCATTTTACTTTAAATTATAAATAAATAATATTTTTAATTTTTTAATCATGATATTGCCAGGTCTCATTGTCTTATGGTTTGTTTACGCCAATATACTCAGACTGCTATAAATATCTGTTTCATTTTTTATGCGTTCAATAATACCATTAAAATTTAATTTTGTTCAATTAAATTAATTATAAATACCTGTAGTAAAAAATGCCAATATATTTAATACTTTTTTCATAAATGAAACAATAGACAATATTTATATACTTAAACGATTTTCTATAATTAAGTTATAGAAATTATAATTAATTTTTATCTGAAAATTTCACGAGGCTGCAAATGATAAATTATCACGAAAATCGATATTCTTCTATTTTAATAAATTAATAGCTATAAATTAACATAGTAGAAACACTAAAAGTGTACACAGATTTATATGTTTGACTTGCATTTTATCTGTCCCTTGGAGGGTATAAAGATTAAACAAACATCACTTAATACATAAGCCCAGTATTTTATGGAATGATCTGGAATCAAGAACCAACATAATAGAAATAATTCATTCTTAAGTTTTAATATATTATTCTTGTGCTATAAAATAAATACCACTACTATGTTTAAATATGAGAGGATATTTTCTTACGGAATGTGTATCATCAAATAAAAACCAAAAATAATTACTGGAATGAAATCTTAAATTATGCTAATAATTAGCCAGGCTTAAAAATTAAAAGAATTAAAATTTTGGCCAGAATCGTTATTAATTTTAATTGTATTTGTTGTTCATTGACTAATATTAGTAAATATGATTTTAAATAATGTTTACCAAAACGTATCGAACGTTTTCGTTATAATTACATAGTACAATATTTTTCTTCAAAAATATCCTCAAAAAGTATAAATATTTGTTTTAATTTAACTGAAAAAGACTAGCCTAAAAATTTGCCATATTAATATCATTTAAAATGATTTTTAAAAAGTTTTTCTTTTTTTTTTTCTATACTTGTTATAAACCATCGCAGCAAGTCGGACCTACTAATTATAACACATACTATGATCGGTATTTTAACCCTTTGAAAATATAAATTTGTTTAAAATTAATAACATGACAATAATTTACAGTTATTGTAACTTTTTATTGTTATAATATTATATTACATATTATAGTATTGTATAATATTGTTATAATATTGAATAATCAATTTTATATAAAATAATAATAATATCTTAAACAATATTATTGTCTTTCAAATCAGTATTTGTTCCATTTTTTTACAACCAGTGCTATGAAAACAATAATTTTTATAATATAGTCGATTCAAAATCTAATTATAATAATTATAAACAGAATATATGATTACAGTTTTATGTACATAATCACGTTTTTCACGTGCAAAACAACTTTATTATTTATTTACAAGTAAAATAAGTACTTTTTGAGTTTTTAATGTCACAAAGAGTTTGGATAGTGATTTTTATAGGATCATAATAGATCTAACACTGTTCATAAATTCGTTTAGTAAATGTTACTACATTTTTCATGCGATTGGCAATCCATTTGAATACATTCATCAAAAATGTTATTTTCGTCGCAAAATAATTTTGTTGCATAACTATTTAATATTATCCATCCATAGATAAAAAGTGCTAAAAATTCCAATTCAAACACATTAGAATAATTTATCTCAAAATTTTATACACTTTTGAATATTGTCAACATTTTTTGTTCATGTATAAGTTTTACGTATTTATGTTTTATATTTACTATCTCATTTTGTTTTATTTTTTTCATTCTCTTATAATAGTTAAATTTTTATGCGTCTTAAGAATAAAATCATTTTAGAAGTTTTTTTATTATAAAATTTATTTTAACTGAATGTATGAGTATTATTAATTATTATGCACTGAACCAATCTGTAAGGTATCGATTAAAACCACAGAAAAGATACTTATAACTCACATAATAATACCGTTCCGATGAATACCATAATTATGAGTTCTTTATCTGCATCAGGATCTCGACCAGCAAGCAACGAAACTGGTTGTGTTTTTGATAATTTCTTTTTGTTGTCATTAATTTTTTTATTTTTATTAATATTGTCAGATCTCTTAAACCGATAGTAATCATAATATTCATCTTCTATTTGATCTTTATCCGACATCATGTCGTAATCATCGTTTATCATAGTAGCTATCCCAAAATTGTCATGCCAAGAGCTATTGTAGAGCCATAAACTTTCTGGGCATCGCCTTTGTAAACATAAATACCTAGACATGTGCTATAGTTATATTATAATCTTATACTAATTGACCGGTACAGTGTTCCCCTCAGCTACACATCACACATTATCGACTAATATGAAAGTGATACAGTATTTGAATCATAAGTCTACGGTGACCTAGTGATAAAGTCTATCCCTACTATGCCTTAGGTCACGGATTTTAATTCCACGACCCAAAACCTTTCCCGTGCCTTTATTTTTCACGGATGTGTTGTATGCAAATACCGATAAGCGGTACACTTTTGATGATCGCCCGTCAATCCCCGGCGGCCGTTTTATAATTAACTACGAAATAAAAACAAATTTTTAAATATATTTTTGCAATGACACAAGGTATTTATTTATGAAAACCAATGATATTGTTTTTTAGAGAAATGAATTATAACATTTTTATAAATAACAATCTTAACTAATCCATAATTGATAATAGAATTTTGATGCTTAAAAAGAATATTTAATGATGGTTAGTTTAATCTGATTTTAAAAGTATGTCTTTAAGGAACTATTTGTTTTAATGGGTAAGCTCCATATTCATGAAACTACTAAGATACTTACCTAGCGTATTACTAAGTATATAAAATTTATTGAGAATAAAACAATTATACATCTATACTTCTTAGCTATTTAAAACTTTCCGAAAGTGTGATTACCTCTAATAAAGGTAAATCATATCCTACGCTGAAGTACTTTACACTATGATAATTACTCCAAAAATTAAAAATTAAAGTATGATTTTGTTGTTATACAGAATAAACGTTATAACCCTTACTGTTCTCCTTTGCTAAACATTGAAAAAAATATCATTGTACCCCATATAATAATGAACATGGTCCATAAAATTAATGCAGAGCTCACAGTTGACCTTGATTCCTAAATAAAATTAAAATTAAAATGTTTTCTCAAACATAAAATAAAATAAGAGAACTTTACATTTCCGGCACCAATTAATGCTGTTACCCATATTAATACTACTAACATGGAAACCAAAATGACAACACTCCAAGGAGCTAAAAAAAATATCTAAATACAATTTGTTTCGGTTAATTAATTGTCAGCTCATAATAATTTATTTTATAGAATTTTTGCTATGAAATAATAACATTCCTACGAAAAAAAGTTATAATACATTGAAATATGTTTTTATTTATTTTACATGAAAATATTAAATATGTTATATGTTAAAACTTTAATTCGGTATCAAAACATCAATTAAAAGTATTTATATTCAATTAATTTAGATTCAAACAAAAAATATTAGTAAAGAAACTCAAAAATATATTTTAAAAAGTAGATCACTGTCTGGATTACTGTTCAAAACGATAGAAACTTTTTTAGGGTCGTCTAATATCGGAATGTCCAATTATTTGCGTATGGTGACAATACATCTTGTGATAGTATGATGTTAACAAAAAACAAAAATAAAATACTACAACAGAATAGGTTTTTAAATTTCAGAGTTTTATCCTTCATGGATATATTATCAAATTTTATTTTATAAAGTCGTAAAATTTTACAATTCCACGACATGTATATGTGAGACGATTCATTTCGATAGTAGAAGTGTCCTATATCCTGTTTTTTTTACCTGGAAACGTTGGACTTATCATCATAAGATTTGCCAATATACTGGAAATTCCCAACGACTAAAATGTTTGTATAAATAAAATAATAATGATTTTTATGCATAGACAAACAATTATTATTGAATTACCATGAAAAGCGATGCTATAAGAGTAACGCCTACTCTTAATTCAAAAATGGTCAGAAATGTACTTAGAACAAGCATTTTTAAGTTTTAGAAAAAAGTAATTTGTTTGGTATAGATAATAGACATACATTAATAATATATAATAATTAAACTAAACATATCTTAACAACAAAATAAAAACTATTGTTATCTTGTTGTTACGGTATTATATCTAAATTTACAAAATTCAATATTCATAATTATTTTTAATCATTGATATTGAAATTTCATTAAATTATTTTTGATATTCTAAAAGTTTCTGATCAAAACTCAGTCAAATCGTTACGAGGCCGACTATTTTCTCGAGCATGAACATTTCTAGTGATTGAATATTTTATGATTAGGTAATCCAAAAATCTCATTATATTTTGGTAAGCCTACAAAAAATTGCTCTGTTTGATCAAACAGGATTTCGTTGAAATGCAATGGACATACATGTAATATATTATCCTTAAAATTCATATCACGTCCATAGACTATTCACAAATATATATATATATATATATATACATATTTCAAAGGGTTTATTTGATAAATACCTGTTAAACTCGTTTAACCTGAAAAATGTTAGCAAAATAATTTCGTACTTAATAACTATAAAAAGGTTAATGGCTAAAAATTTTGACATCGAAACGATGATGTCCAAAAATACAATGTTTAAAACTCTTATTATAAAAATTATATTTTCTATGTTACTCTAAAGTTGAATTTTGTCGTCCGTTTTTCAGAAATTAACAACACAGAATCTGTAACGACATGAATAACCTTATTTTAAAATAAAAGGTTATTTCAGAAGTTATTAATATCCTATGTTTTATAATTTTTAAAAATATTTAATAGTTCAATCTTCCTGTGTGTTTTTTTTAGTTATTATATTTAGATATAAAACACTATTCATATAATAAGAAATTCTTGTGTTAATATCTATTATCTTGAATTTTTGAGCTCCTGTATTTTGTAAAAAAATTGAATTATTTACAATGTACACTAGTTAATTTTTTATGAATAAGTGTAACAAACTGTCATTCTAATTATGTTAAAGAAACAGATCTTATAAAATCCTACTATTAATTATGTTATATTAATACATAATTTGATACGCTAATATAAATTACATAATTAAAAGTATGCCATAAAATTAATACAAAGCATTTTAATTTTCAATATAAATAGGATCCTTAATGTATTAGAAAACAAGAAAAATACCTTCAAAATAAAGAGCTAATAGTGACACATTCTTTGGTTAAACTGCTGTCTTTAAAGATCAAAGGAGGAATTCTGATGACGAAGAATTTCCAAGGTTCTATGTATAGATATAATTATTTTGATACGAAAAACTCACTTTTAAATACCAAACTATACTTAACTATACAAAGGTTAATGCTATACCAAATTTCTTTTCAACTTCGTAATTAATTTGTCACGTCATTTAAACAAAATAGAAAGTCTGATCTTATACCAAATGTTTCAAGCAATATAAGTTCAGAGACGCATAAAGATAAACGCACGTATTCTTTAAACACTAATAACTATGATTCACTTTTATGAACATAATATTACTCTTTAAAGTAATTTGTACAAATTTTAGAGAGTTTAATTACTTAACGAGAACAGTGGTATGATGATATATAACTGGTTATAAGTTACAGTCGGGATCCAGCGTAGTGAAGCTGAGACATATTTTTAGATTAGTATTGATTGTTATCTGACTATATAGAATTTAAAAATATACTGTTGATTATTCTTTAAATGGATATAACGACAAAGTATTTCTGTTTACTGCCCACAAAAGCAAGTTTATTAATTATAGCAATCCAGAAAAGTTGTTCTACAATAAGAGGGATGATGGATATTAAATATAAAAATAAGCATCCCATTAGAATTTATCAAATAATCATGAATATTTAGATAGAGTAGTCTACTTTTACCATAATTTTGTTTTGATTATTTTTGTAAATAACGACGTTCTAAGAAAAAATGTATTGTTCTTTAATATTTGATTTTAGGAACAAAAAAATAGGGTTATTATGAAGTTATTTCTAAACTATAGTAAGCTAAAAATACTTCCAAAAAATCAAAATTATTGAACTTATTTGACGAAATTTAATATTTAGCAATACAAGTTTTTTAAACCTTTATTATACACACAATTGCTTCCCAAATAACCGCAATGTATACAGCAGCAGAGCTTTACATTTTTACAGACTAAATTTAATTAAAAAAATGATTTCAATATATATTATTGTTTATAATTGAACACGAAATGTACCAGTCAATCTGCCATTAAAAATGTTTTATTACATTTATTCATAAAATAAAAATTGACACAATACAAAATAAACTAAAAAGACACAGCTAATATAAATCACTAACAATGCATGTGATCTAATCAAGTAAATCAACATAAAAAAATAAGAGTCCGTATAAAAGAGTACGCCTTTGTTTTAAGAGCTGAATTAAATTTTAATCTGAATAAATAATTATGAATATTTTATAAATACAACTGACATTCTAAGACGAGACATCAGCTGTCTCTTTCAAGCGTTTGTTACAGATTAGTAAGACTCCCTTTTAAAAATAAATCTTTTACAGCTCTTCACTATTTATGTATATCAACAAGACATTTGGCAATTTAAGACGTTTCCTTTGACACATTATTTCCTTTTGAACATGTAATATTTTTGTTATATGAAACTTGCTAGTTATCATTCGTTCATTACTCATCTCATTCGTAATACCACAAACAAAATAAAATACTTTTTATTAAGTGGTTTCTAAAGAATTTCAAACATTTAACATATAAAGAACAATGTTAGATACAAAAAAAAAACTGAAATATATAAACGATCGTTTATACAAATCATTTATCAAACATTTAACAATATACACTTTTGTACAAATATATTCTATAACATTGTAAGTATGCACATTGTGTAATTGTATTCATATTATTGATATCTTGTACCTATAGACTAGCCATTAACAATCAACGGTTATAGTTTTTAATATTTAGTTGAAGACTTCCAGAAATATGTAATTTACTAACACGATATAGTCAGTTGCACGATGTGCTCAATACTATATCTATAAATATAATAATAATAAAATCATCATTATCTATAATTGGTGGGAAAAAAATTTTGAAAATAACATTTATATGAAAAAAAAATGTTTTTACTGAAATTATACATTACTATTTGAACTATTCAAATCACTGTAGTACTTAAAGAATGAAGACGAAGTCAGAAAATACAAAATTAAAAAATGATTTATATTACTTTAATAAAAAATATTACCTAACTCATATATTTATCTAAAATGGTCACATTATTTTTAATTTACATTATATTTGGCATAATTTCACTTTGAGTACGAATATGATTTGAAATTATTCCGAAAATACTAAACAATGATTTAATTAATGTTTCATAGAGTGTAAGATAAAATATCTGGGATCAATATTTTGACCACAGCTCAACAAATTAAAAAATGATACCATACAAGGTTTTTTTACATTAAGTAAAAAATAGAATAGTTTATATGAAGATAACATTGTAATAGTACCGGTGCTTTGATTTGTGGGGCCCCAAACTTAATTAACTTACAACCTAATTTTTTTTTTGTAATTTTATTGTGTAGCCCCAAAATTATGAAAAACGTAAAACCCTAATCGAAAGTATTACTCGCCCGTATCTGAATTTTAGTACCACATGATAATTTTAGACTAAAATTGGTTTCGATTGAAGTAAAATTCTTTACGTTGTGAAGTATACATATTTAATTAATACCTTATGAAATAAAAGTGAATTAAAAATACTTTGTAAATGTTTTTTTTTTCAATGTTGAATAATTCAATTATGAGATCAAAGTTTAAAAAAACACATTAATAATTAATTACAGAGAAAGTTGTAAAACAATTATGCAAGTAAAATACAGATGAATATGGTAATTTTATGATAATATTTGTAGCTTTAATAGTATGTAGTATAGTTCAATAAAAAAAAACATTTATGTATACTTTATTTATAAAATATATTCATTTTTGTCTTGTAATAAAACAAAATTACTTTTTTTTTTCTTTAACACCATCTATCTACTACTTGTTCGAATTGTACATTTATCTTAGCGTAAAAGTAATAACAGTAAAATCCATTGATTTTAGTTATTTAGTTTGGATTTCTGATATTTATTGCTGTTAAAGTGTTATTTGAACATGTTACGCTATTGTGTTATTT